AGGGAAATAGCGAGCGAAGGCCTCGTTGTTTCGCTCCCAGACACTCACCGCACTCGCGGCGTCTGCGATCCTGGTTCTTGAGGGACTTTTGAATGCCCAGAAATTATCCGGCAATTCATAGCACTGTTGTTGGCATTTCGGTAAGTTAAATATCACGAGTATATGTGATCGAGGAGGGTATGGGGGAGTGCTTGTCTGCGAGATATATATTTATGCAAAAGATAGTGGTGTATTTACAGGCAGGTATACAAAACCTTTGTAATCACATTAACTATTCAATTTCTAGAGCCACGATAATTTGTTTTATTTATGTCTGCATTCCCAAACTCTCCTCCATTTAAGTCTATTATCAGGAAAAGCATCCCCTTAGACCAAGTGACGCCATTATTAAGAAACAATTAATCCGATGTCGTTTCAAGGTTCTGCTACGTGGCAGGCAGATATCTTCCACAATGCCAAATGCATTTCCTGTTTGCGTTTTGTCTTTATTCCTTCTGTTCTTCTCTTTCCTCTTTCTCCCCAATCCGCTGTCTTCCTTTCCGCGTTCCTGTCCAAAAAGGCTGTTCCGTGGTTTGGGGGAGTTTCCCTGGGCGGTCGGGGGGGGGGGGTGATAACGAGGCACAATGCTGCATCAAATATGCAATATCACTTTGATGTCATATCTCTTACATTGACCTTATTATGCATAATTGTCAGATAAATGTAATGTGCTCAAGGTCTGATGTGTGGGGATGGGGGGAAGGGGAAGCATAACTGAAAAGGGAGGTGTAGAAAGAGGATGAAGTTATAGAGAAATAAATGGAGAGAGAAAAATGCGTAAAAAGAAATCGGAACACGAAATGGGAATGGGACAGAGATGAAAAAACGGAACAACTGCTGATAGAGCAGAGGGGGTAAGAGTCCATGTACAGCAAATGCGAATAAAGGGGAGGGACATCCGGATAGTAGGACATGGACTTCACATGTACAGGTTGACTTCGCGTCCGTCATCGAAATAAAGAAGCTACGCGGAAAGGGAGTGGGATGTGCGTGAAGGTGAGAATCCCTTTCCCCCAAGCCTGCCTGCCTGCTGCTCCCCTCCCCCCCCCCCTCTCTCTCTCTCTCTCTCTCTCTCTCTCTCTCTCTCTCTCTCTCTCTCCTCTCTCTCTCTCTCTCTCTCTCCTTCTCTCTCTCTCTCTCTCTCTCTCTACCTATCTATCGATCTCTCCTTTTCTCTCCCTGAGCTTTTAGAGTTGTAGGTTCTATTTCGGCCTCGCTTATACCCGGTGATGGGGATTTAGGGAGATGGAGATGAAGAGGAAAAGAAAAGAAAAAGGGAGGAGGGATATAGGGAGGAAGATGGAGAGGGAGGGGAAGAGATAAAATAAGACGAAGAACAGGGGGAGAGAGAGCCTAAAAAGAAATAGGAGAGAGTGTTGTTGGTGAAGAAGTTATCTTGGCGTGCGCGCGGCGAGCACCGGGCGCCAGCTGCTCCCTCCACGCGCGTCGCCAAGGTCCGCCCATGACACAGGCCTTAAAACAACACTGGCAAACACTCCGGGGACACATCGTTCCACCCCATCCCCGCCAGGCACCAGACAGCCCGCCCCGGGCTTTTTGGAAAAACTTCGAAAAGTTTTATTTCTCCTTATTCTATATATTTTGCAATTCGCGATGGCTATACCCGCGCGCACGAGTTCCTGACGGGCGGGCATGTGGGCACGTGGCCAAGAACGACGGCAAAAGCGGCGGTGGCAACGTCCGGGTGCAGGCCAGCGAGTGCCCACGCACCGTCCAGCCAAAAGATGTATGCCCTCAGGTGTTCGCGGCTCACGGGTGCGGCAGCCGAGACCGCCAGCGCGGGCCGTGGGGGAGGGAAAGGGAGGAGTGGGCCGGGAATAGAAGATGGGCAAGGGTAGAATGGAAGGGAACGGAAGGGCGGAGTGGGACGAGAAGGAAAGGATTAGGGGGGTGGGGTGAGAGGGGAAAGCATGGGGGGACTGGAAGAGGAAGAGGTTGACGGAGTAAAAGAAGAAAGGCGTGGAAATGAGGACGAGAAAGTTACATGGGAAAGAAAAGAGAAAGAAAGTGGAAATCGAAAGAAAGAAAGAAAGGGCTCCTGAGCCCTATCCCCTCCACCTCCCCCGCCCTTGGTCCCAAAACAGATCCAGGTGTAAGAATTGGTGTTGATGACTGAGGAATGGCCATAGAGGAGGGCGACATTGGGCGGGCAAGCGTCCAAGCGCGTGGGTGTAGGCGGAGGGAAGTTGGGATGTATGGAGAGAAAGAGAGAGAGAGAGTGTGAGAGAGAGAGAGTGAGAGAGAGAGAGGGTGAGTGAGTGAGAGAGAGAGATGAGTGAGTGAGTGAGTGAGTGAGTGAGTGAGTGAGTGAGTGAGTGAGTGAGTGAGAGAGAGAGAGAGAGAGAAGGAGAGAGGGAGAGAAGAGAAGAGAGAGAGAGAGAGAGAGAGAGAGAGAGAGAGAGAGAGAGGGGGGGGGGGAGAAGTAAAGTAGCGAGACGGG